ATGCCATCACAGTTTTTAAAGCTAAAGTCACCCGAACAAAATTTGCTGAACCATTGTTGATGCTTACGAACGTTCAAAACATTTCCATAAACTTCTTTGATGTTCTTTGTGGCTACAGAGGCATTGTGTCCCTTCTTCTATTCAAACAGCATTACATGCCAAATGTGTGTCTCATTGTGTGCCATCACTATAAGGGATTCAAGTTTGTAGTTTATAAAAGCAGTAATTGAACTATGGATTTCTCAGTTCTAACAGTGTTGTGTAGAATGTGAACTGACTGGTACAGGATCAATATTTCAGATATATATTCTTAATAAATACACCTTGAAAATTAAAAGTATATAGTACTACTATGATATGGAAGTCTTTACAAAACTTGTTTCTCAGTAACCATAATTTTTAGTTGGTTTTCTTTTTTGTACAATGTAATATTGATTTTACATTATATTCTAGTCTAAAAAAATATTAGTTTAAATAAATTATGTTCATACTTTTATTTCAGTTATCAAAACTGTATTTTAATGTGAACTTGCCATATAATGTGAAACTAAAAATATATTCTATAGCTTTGATCACTGGCATATGACTTGCAGTTCCATAATTTCCTGGGTCAATTTTTTAGCACTGACTTAAGGTCAGATAACTGTGAAGTGATCTTTTCTCACTTGAATAATTTATCAATTCTATCTAAGGAAATTTTTATGTAAAGGTAATCTTAAAGAGTTTTAATAAAATTTTAATTATTCTGTTAAGTCATGAACATTGATAATAGAAGCAAGATAGCTGTGCTTGTTCGTTTAAGACCATATATGCAGGACTTACCATGTCAGATAAATATCCTAGGGATGTTGAATCCAACAGTTGATCACCTTTGCTGCGTAGAATAAAAGCTGATTTTCGTGACAAAAAAAAATAAGGATATTTATAATACATATATATAGTTAGCATGGATTTGATACTGTAGTTGACTTTTTTAAGTCTTTATTCAGATCTTAAATTCTTGATTTACTTAAGTTTCACTGATTTTCGAGCAAGATCAAATTTCATGAAGATCTGTTTTTAGACACACATACAAAAGGTCAATATGTACTTTACATTACCAGGAAATTCATAGTTTTGATTAATTAGTGGGTACATATATTTATTCAAGTACTTATGTTGTTTTTAAATCTATTGCCAGCAAATAACCCAATACATTTGTAGAATGTCTCAAAATTTTGGATATCATTTTAAAACTTTCTAAATGAAGAAAAATATAATGTTGGATAATGTCCTTATTTCACAAGTAGTACTTAATGATTCGTCCTTGTGCAATTTATAGATGAAACTTCTTGATCGATCTTTGATGCCTGGAGATGTCGTGAGAAAACTTGTCAAAGGAAAAGACACTCAGCTGGGTTACTGTAGAACAACTAATGTGCAAGCCAGTGTTCAAGTTTTAGGGACTAAGCAGGTTATACTTGGAGTCAACAGCAAAGATCTCACACCACTTGAGGTGAAACCATATGTTGTTAAAAGTAAAGATGTAATATTGTATTTATGCAACTATGATAATCGTGATTTATTTAAAAACGTTATCAGATGGTTGTAATTTATTAAATGAATGTAGTAATTTTGTATTAAAGTAAGTATGATTTTTAAATCCACATTAAGTTCATGTGTAAGAAATGTTAATTTGTATTCCAAGGTGTGATAAATATAGTACTCTTTGTGGTGGGGTCCATGACAATTATTTAACATGTCTATCACTATCTGACATCCCATTCCTAAATTGCTAATTATTCTTTTTATTTTATTTTATATGCTAGTGAAATTGTATTCAGAAGTTGTTATTGTGTAAAAAAAACTTTAATCAGCTTCCAGTGTAATGGGTTTAATTGATATATGTTTAATCTCAACAGTGCATCCTGGCACAGGAAATCATGATTACACAGTCTATCTTTAAGAATATCTCTTCTTTTAATACTCTTTTAATATATATTTTGTCAAAAATCAGTAGAAATATATTCTTTTAGTGGTTTTTAATTTAGATTAACTTAATTTGTTTCATAAATTCAATTTCACAACTTTTTCATTTCTAGTCTTCGTACTTGAAAAGCAGACTTAATTGCACTTGTTCTACTTCTGTTTATCTTGAAACAACTTTTAAAACAATTGACCTATCTACCCAGTTTTCCTTTACCACAAGAAACCATGACAGCTTTGTTTCAAGCTTAGTGATTTTTTTAGTTTTTCAAAAATAAAGTTGAAAGTTATTTGTTACTTTTTTCAACTTTCACACGAAATACATTTGAGAATGTGAGTTTACACGGAAGAATGAATGAGCATTTTTTTGAATGAATGAAACATTATTTTAAATCTGTTAGAAGGCAGTTACAGATTTTTTTTATATGCTGCACCTGTATTATATAATTTAAGAGCTTGTGTTTGCCATTGTTTACATGGCATTGCCACAGAAATTCTTAGAATTTTCAGTTCTTAGACACATGAACTAAGTAAATTGAATGTACAGACATATTTTGATGGAATTGTGTTGTAAAACTCAGATTATAAGAGGTTTGTTGGCTGTTTCTCAATAGCTTGGTAAACTTACGTTTAGCTAAAGTAATTAATACATATGTATGAATAAATAAGACTGTCAGTAAACTTCCTTTTGATGTTTAAGTAATTATAAAAGTGCAATAGTTGCCTTCTTCCTTTATGAATTTTTTTCCAAAAGTTGTGGTTGAAAGTTAAAATATGTTTAGATGCTTTTTTTACTAGTTGATGGACTAAAAGCTTTCTAATAGCTAATTATGGATTGCTTAATATTGACTGTATCACTTTGTTGGTTAAATTTAAAAAAAAAATTCTTTTACACATTGGGAGAAGTAAAATTAGATGAAATAACCTGAGTAACCACTTGCATACCTCTGTGTAATTTGAGTTGTTTTTTTCATATTGCCTTATTAAACCAATTAGTAACTGTTCATTAATGTTTTTCATGTCTGTGATATGTGAATAAATTTGTTATTGTTTTCATCTGAAGTATTTCTGAGTTTTTCATCATTGTTATGTAGTTCTTTATTAATTTATATTTGATGTTGTGATTGAGATTTTTTCACAAATTCATAAACTCGTATTGAAGGTTGTATGACTGGTGATTATGTGTTGCACTGTACCACGTAAATACTAGTCAGCCTTCTATTTCGCTTTGAGATACTGCACACTATTTTGCTTATTGTGTTGTTAGAAATATCCTTTTTCTGTTGGCTTTTAATATATGTCAAGATTCAATATAGTATTTTTAGCTCTAAACCATGAGTAACTTGGCTCATACAACTTCATTTCTTCCATTTGTTAAATCCCTAGGAAGAGTATTATTCTATAGCATATGTATGTGTTGTCATAGCCAAGATGGTGTTACATTCCATTCATCCAAACTGTTTTTTGACAAACATATTCTTTATTGTTATTTTTCTTGTGTGGGAATTTGTCATGCCAGGCGGGTAATATCAATGACAGTATACTAGAGAACTGCTTCTTCCTGAGATGCATGAGGTTCTTTACTGTAATCCAGTTTAGGTATTTAGTCAGTGATCCATATTTTGATGTTTTCATTATTCCACTTTTATTATCTACTGCAAGTATGAAACCTCATTTCTGTGGCTTGTATCGGGTTTGCAGTGACTTTTTAACATAAATGGAGTACTTTAAGACTATTTTATTTCTTTTACACACAAATCTTTGCTGAGAATTACATTGTAACAATCGGGCTAAAGCTTCTTACCATCGACTTATTTTAAGGGAGATTACTTTTTTCTTGATGTTACCTTTTTGTCCCTATCATTATCTGCTGTTTAATCTTCTATATGATATTTATTTGATGTCATTAGTTGAGCTATCAAGATTATTTCAACTTTCATTTCCTTCACCTGTAACCTTGTTGTCCTTTTGAGAAATACATTTATTTGTGGAAGTTATCATGTCCTTCAAATCCAAAAGACCTATAGAGAAATGTCTGGGGTTATTGATTTTTCAGTAAGGGACTTATTTTGATAAAAAAAGTTGGAACTTTGAAGATGGACATTACCACACTTACAAACATTTCATATTTAAGCTCATTCTTCAAATTTTCAAACCAAAATTATGATTTACAGTACAGTTACAGAACTTAACCTAATTTTTGTTGTTCTTTTTCCAACAGTTCTTCATTTATCAGAAGTATCTATCATTGTTTTTCTTTATATACACTGATAGTTTACCACATAGAATTGTGAAGTGATCTTACTTTTTCTTTCGATTATCTTTAGCCAGATATTTACTCATTTAAATTAGATATTCCTCGTGTTGATGTCTTCTGCATAACTAGGATGTAACTTTGTTTTGGAAGCAATTACAGGTAGTTCATTAATTTTTAATCATTATTTCTTTAAGCATACTCTCTCTTATTGACCTAGCTTTTGCTAAGAAAAGATATATCAGTATTACATTTGGTATCAACTGAGTCTATAATGCTAATAAATCAACTATTAGATCCTTAGGTTTAGATAACTGTACAAGTTCATACATGTAGTTTTAGTTGTCATCATGACTGCTCTAACTAGACACATTTTATTGTGTGTCTTCATGTATTAGCATCTTTGAAGTGCATTCTTCCGACTGTGTGATTCTTCCTTTAGTTCTTTTACACTTAAAACTGCATTTCAAATAAAAAGTCATGTAAATCCTTATTTTAAGAAACACCATGTCTTGCTACCACAAACAATACAGTATAATAAACTACAAGAAGGATGTCAGAGAGAGATTGAGTTGGTTAATGAATTCAAAAACTTTTTTGTAATTTCACTTATCATACTTTACCAAAAGGATGTTGAGAATCTTTTTGACTATGAAAGATCTACTTATTACATGCAGCTTTCGTTATACTATAGAGGTTCATAATAGCATCTCAGTTTAGTTTGTCTTAGTTGTGTCTTTTCTTATAGGAATTCAGTTCAGACATTGCAGTGTTTTTAGACTCTTGGGTAGGAATGGTAAAATCAGTGAAGTCTGAGATAATTTCTCGAACATCTGATGGATCAAGGTAGGCCAGTAATTTTTAACTGTGGTACTTTATATATGGATTATTTATTTTTCCTTGCACATTTATCTTCTTCTTAAAGCTTAAGTAATAAAAAGAAGTTGCTTTAGACTTCTTGGTAAGTTATTGCATCAAAGAAGTAAGTTATGTTAGCAGATTTATTAATGTTATTTAAAATAACTAGAACAGCAGAAAGTAAATGGTTTATGGTAGATGAAACATGTTTATACTTGTGATGTAACTTCCAACATTTATTTATATAATTAAAAAAAAGAAAATGATATAATAGTCCTCTGACCTCCAGAATTTTGATAATAGAATAATCTTTCCATTACTTACTTTAGGTTAACTGTAACCCTGACTTTTTATACATTATTTGTAGATTATTGTTGTGGCATTTTGTAATTGTTAGAAGTTTAAAAAATCATTTTCTATTTAAAATTTGTAAGAAATGCATCTAGATAGATGTTTAAAGAAATATATCAAACCAACCCTGTGTGCATGAATGGGGGTAAAAATGCGCATTCCATGATCTTTTTTAGAGTGCAAGTCAACATTGTGTTATGTATTTAATATCAGAGTTATCAAATATTCGTTTTACTGTACATTGATAACACTTCATGGTAGAGGAGAGTAAATACCAAATACAATATATAGAGATACTAGAATAAACTGTAAATATGCATCTTGAAGGTTCCAGAGGTTATGCAAATGCAAAATGTACGATGGACAAAAGTATTTTTATTTGCCACATGAATACCACATTGCACTCCAACTTGTCAGAACGACGTTATCAATTCACAGACATATATTGAGCATAAATAGTTTTCTAGCACACCTGACTTGTATGTTTTACTACAAGTCTATTACAGTTTGAACAGATACACCTAGTAAACTTGGAATTATAATCAACATTCCTTCTCCAATGTAGGGCCAGCCCAGTGGACCGACCTAGTGCACATTTGGGTAAAAAGAGTGACAAAAAGCTATAGAAATTAAAATAAATGTTTAGCCCAAGTGTGCATGAGGTATCATTCACGTTGAAAATTTGAGTTTCTGTTCCAGCAATTATTTTCTATATGTATTATAGTTAACAGTAAAGGAAAAGTTGTTTTTTTTGTACAGTACAAATCTCTGTATTGTACAAGATTTTAAGCCATTGATTTGTGTATTGTTAGGTGTGTTCTTTCTGAAGATGACGCAATTGACTTAGATGACATTCTGGACAAAAGAGATGTAGTAAGTTTGTTTTTTCTTTTAATATTCTTTTTCTGAGACATTTTAGATGAATTTTTCAATTGTGACAGTATTTTTACTTTAAGAATCTATTGTTTCTTGTAAGGGCATCAACATTCAAACAATATTTTATTGAGTATATCTTGTCAAAGATGAGTTTAATTTAGACATATTTGGTTTCAAACTTAGTTAACTAAGTATAAGTTGTGATAAACATGCAACTGTATTTCACTCAAATGTGGGGAGAAAAGCAGATCAGATTATGTTATTGCACATCAGAAAACAAAAATTAAAGGTAAACTTTATGTAAAATAAAAAAATTATCATTACACATTTAATTAATAATATATTCACACGTATTTATTGAATGACACTATCATTGAACTAATGATTTATTAAATAAAACTGCTACTATAGGATTTTAGTGGTAACAGTTAAGTTATAATACATAATACAGTAACATTACGATTTTTTGTATAAGACATATAGTATGGAATAAAAGTGTGTGTACAACAACAAAAGAAAACTGATTAATTGCTATGAAAATATGTAAGAACTTGAACGTCTGTTAGTAATACATTAATAGTGTTTCTTAGTGTTATATGCACATATCTTGTAATTAGAATAAAAGCAATTGCTTTTTGGATTAGGTGTGACCTTGTAGTTATGGGACTGAAGAGTCTAGGGTTTGAAATGTAATGCTGATGAATGTGCTCTACACTTTGTAAAGGTAATAGTCAACCCCATTATTTGGTTCAAAGAGTTCAGCAGAAGCTCCTTTAATTTGTTAAAATTGTAAAAGATGTACTTGCATTCATTGCAAGCAGTTATGACAGTAAGCATGACATTCTCATCATCCTTATCATGTGAAAGCTTTTTCACAGTGTTTGAGGTTTGTATCAAACCCATATTTTAAGTATTATGTACTGAAATAATCAATTATTTCTTTTACAAGGTCAAAACTATCATTGACAAGAAATCCTGTTATTTATCCACAATCTTTCTTAGCCTCGTATCACTGTGAGTGAGCTTTGACACAAGGCAGATAGAAGTCATACATGTGATTGCCAGAAATATATGCTTGACCCCATCAAGAACTACCTACTTCATTCCCCAAGACAAAATACAAACATTTACAGGTGAGAGGATAAACCTTTGAATGCTTTGTGGCCTCCTTTTTCCTGCTATGCCACATTTGAGCTTATTTAATTCTTCATATCTGGTAACAAAACTATAAGAAATCATTGAGAATTCAGAACATTTGAGAACCTGAAACTCAAGACATGGATATGAGACACAGAGCAAAGCCCAGATTACTTGATTTTCAACAGAGTTTTGCTTGGTGTGGGAGTAGCTTTTGACTATGATACTGAAGATGGTCTTGGCCTTCAAAAGAGATAGTCTTTTCGGGTCTTTGCAGAGCATGTGTTTCTGGAAAGTCACAAGAGATTCTTCCCTGCAGGATGGTGTTGTACAGTCTAAACACAGTGGCACCACATTGGTCTTCCATCACTTTTTTCCAAGTCTGAGGATCTGAGCAAATGTCAATGGAGAGAAGGTGTCTAAACAGAGGACTCTACAATGATCTGAGTCAAAGACCATCAGGATTTAATAACATTTTGCACCCTTCTTTCATACTGCCATCATTCTTCCTCCAACTTCTATGTCCTTGGTTGTCCGCTTCTGATGATGATTCTATGAACATATATGGTCTCTTGGTAGACATGTTTCCCTTCAGCTCATTTGGCATTTTTCTTAGCACCGACAAAAATCCTTCTCTTGTCTCTGCAACTAGTATCCAGTATCTGTTACACTACTAGCACATCCAGAATTTTATTACCTTACACTTGGATGTAAGCTTTGAATTTTATGCTTCTGAGATATGTGCATTCTTGATAGAAAATCTGCTGGTTGTCCTTACAGTTTCTTAGTATTACTGGCTTCATCAAAATCTCCACACATATTGTATTACAGTAAAAACCATGACCCTGGGCAAAGTTTAGGAAAACATTCTCCATCTACAAAAAATGAAAATCTCCTCTGTTTCTTTTCAGTTTTTATGTTGATCAGCATCATTGAATTCCTCATGCAACAGTGATGCTATAAAATTTGCAAGAGAATTTAGGAAATAGTGTATGTGTGCCTCCTGGAGTTGGAGTACTGTATGTGGTTTGGTTGACTTTATCAAATGTGACCCTTTCTGTTGTAGATAGTATTAGTCTTACATTGAAATGAAACTAGAAATAATGCAGTTTCATGGAGTTTAGTGATTAGCAGGTTTTCACTTTACATTCAAATGGTGTTCAGGCAATGAAATCTGGTAATTATAGTGCTACCATGCAACTACAAGGAACAACATTAGTTACACAGAACAGTTTAATAATTTGATTATTTGTTATTGCAGGTTTTCATTAAGCTTACACCATAAGATTTAAAAAAAACGTTTATGCTCCCACTTAAATTGGGCTACAAGTTATTTTGTTTTAGTACTTTTCAAATTTTTTTTTCCTTTGTTTTAAAAACCTTATTACAGATTCTCAAGTTTTTAGTTCCAGCTTGAGTTTTAAAAAACATGGCTTTTTATATCTGTGAACAAATTGCAATATTCACTTTCAAGTTAACATGTTTTTTTCATAGTCAAGAAGCAGCATTAAAGAACATTTCCTCAGAATACATAATAAAATATACACAAATATTATAGATAATTTGTAAAAAATACACTTAATTATATGAACAAATTGCAATATATTATATTATATATATTATATAATATATAAT